TTTTATTTTGTTTAATTCTTTAATTTTTAAAGTCTTTTTATAGAAATGTATAATGTATATAGTTTCTTATTATCACAAAGTTACATTTAAAATTATATTTATTATTTCATAACGTTCAAATTTTTTTTTATTTAATTCATATTTTATTTTATGATATAAATAATTTAGATGATTAATTCGAAATTATATTCTGCTTTCATATATATGCTAGAGAGTAAGATAGAAAGAAATTTTAATTTTCACAAAATTTTATTGCAGTTTATAGTTTGTTTTATAATTTTGTTTTGTTCTTATTGTTATATTATTATATTATATTGCATACATTGAACATTAATTTATTAAAACTCATATACTATAATTTGCTTTCTTTATATTATTAGAGAGCTTTGGAAAAATCGGCATTGGCACTGGAGGAAACAATAGAAGAAATGGAAGAAGAAAAAAAAGAAGGCCCAGATGAAACGTTTGCAGAAGAAAATAAGACTGACGAATTAAGTATGAAAGCATTAAATACTGAATTTGAAACAGTAATAGAACCATTAAATGAAATAATGGAAAATGAAGTACCAGAAGAATCTTCTGAAACGGAGAATAAAGAGGAAGAAACTATAATTGAAGATAATGTAAATATTGAACAGAACGAAAAGCAAGATGAATCAGAATTAAAATATAATAATAACGAAGATGTTGATACGGAAAGTATAGAAAAAGAAGATGCGATCGAAACAGAAATAACAGGTGCAGAAAATGCGGATAAATCTTTTGAAAATATCAAAATTAAAGAAGAACCAATCGACGAACCTGAGGAACAATTAGAAGATTTCGATTTTACTAACGTAGAAATTAAAGAAGAACCTATCGAACCGGAACCAGGTATGTATCATATATTGTGTATTTAATACCATTATTTTAATATACTGAGTTTATGTGTGTGTATTTAATACCATTATTTTAGTATACTGAGTTTTTAAAATATTGCGATATTTTATATATAGATCCTGAAGAAAGCGTAATAGCTGAACCAGCGATGGTTGATACAACATATGCTGCTGTGAAGAGTTCTATAGATGGAAATGTAGAATTGGATTCTACGCCTGCAGCGATTCCAGCGGCGCCATCTCGAATTAAAATTAATATTACAAAACCATTATGTATTAATAAAGAGCCAGAAGATTCAAAGGAAAAAGAGAAACCTATAGTTGAGACACCTGCTGAAGAAATAATAGAACCTTTGGTGCCTGCTTCTATCAAACCCGCTTTACAAGGTAGAAAACTTTCAAATTTACCTCCTGTGGAAAGAGGGCAAGAGTTATCAGGACTCTGCTCAATTATGTAAATAATATATATAATTGAAACATGTATGTATGTATGAGAGCGTGATTTCAGTGAATTTGTGTTTAATGCTACTTAAAATTAAGTATTGGTGCATTGTATATCATATTTGTGCAGCTTATACGACATGATGTAATGTGATTATAGAATTTTTTTCTTTCTTTTTTTATCGTACTATTCATTTTTCTGTTTCGTATGCACAATTTTTATCTGAATATTTCTTTAATCTGCTAATGTGATAAAAAGATTGATCACATTCATTTTCAAATATCATGTCGTATAAGTTAAATGATATGTGTTATAATGTGTGATTGTGTAAGTGTATGCGTGTATTTAGTTTTTAAATTTTAATTAAGGCGAAAAGAGAACAAAAACTGTACATATTTAATGTAATCGAAACAGTCTAGAGGCGAGATATGATATAGCAGCATTCCTAATATTATCGAGTGCAATCATGTTTCGTGACAGAGAAGTGTCAGAAATGTAATACTGATATGCACAAGACTAATTGAGAATTTCATACCGTTTGTACTTTGTAAAAACATTTGAAAGGTATTCGATACATTATTTTCTAGAAACATCACTCCTAATTTGATTTTACAAAGCACGAAAATGAGGTCCCACAGAAATGATGAAAAATTACCCAATTTAGTTAGGTGTACAAATTGTGTGATATAAAATTGTTGATTATAATGTACATAATACCAACATAAAATTAATCTCGACGATATTGGGTAAAGAAGAAAATCAGTTACTACTAGAGAATGATTATTTTGTATAAAAAAAAAAATCTTGTTAATCATTCGGGGTCTGATTTCCTTTGGTTGCTTATTTATAATCCTACTAAATTTACCTTTCTAAAATATCCCTTATAATAATCGCTATTGCTGAAGAACTTTAGGAATTTAAATTTTTAACTATAACAATATTTGAACAAATAAACAGGTATTAGTAAGAAGTTATTCTTTAATTCAGATTTGTCTCGATATTTAATAAATCTTATTTTTAGAAAAAAAAAAAAAAAATAATTTGATGTTACTGTTTTCTCCGTATCCTTAATATAATAATTTTGTAATATTAAAAAGCATGATAAAATAAACTAACAGATTTCCAAAATATTTGCCTTCTAATTATTCCATATAATAGAAAATTTATTTTTAAGTATTTTAATTGCATATAATAATTATATGTACTACGTGTTGTGGGGTAATCATAATTACAAGTCTTAGAATTTCTATTTATAAGCTGCAATTATGAGGCCATCTAGGGAAAGGGAGCGTATCCTTGATATTTGGTATATTGAAAATAAATTGTAAAAATCTTTCAAACCCCAATCCAAACCCCCCAGTTGGCACATTACCATATTTTCGAAGATCTAAATACCAAGAAAGATTAGATGTTAAGGGTATGTTTGACTTTAATTTTTCATAATTATCTTCACGTATACTGCCTCCTACTAATTCTCCTACAGTAGGTACTAAAAGATCTATGGCAGAAACCTTTAAAGAGAAGGTTTATATCTTAGGTATATATCTTCATAATAAGTAGTGAAACTATATATTCAAAATTTATTAAATCAACTATACTCACCTTCGACGTATCATCTTTACATTCTTTCATATAAAAAGGCTTAATTTCTTTTGGCCAATTTATAACAAATATTGGAACATTATTGTTATGTTTCACTAGAAACAATTCATGTTCTTTCGATAGGTTTGCCCCACTTTTGATAGGATTTTTTAAGCAACTTGTATTATTTTGTAAAATATTAATTGCGTCATCATATGTCATACATGTAAATTTATCATTCAACCATTGTACTTTACAACCACCTATTGCATCTATATCTGAAGCACCCTTTTCAAATACATCTTCAATTATATATTTTATAAATGATTCAATTTCAATCATTATATTATCAATATTATTAATAAATGCCAATTCAGTTTCCAACATATAAAATTCAGCTAAATGTAATCTTGAATTACTATTTTCAGCTCTGAATACTGGTCCAAAGGAATATACCTTTGTAAATGCTCTAAAATGTTTCATACGTATTTTAGTTTTATAATGTTCATCTACTCAATTATTACTTATAAAATTTTATACTTTATTCACCTGGCGGCAGCTTCTAAATGTAATTGCCTAGAAACTGTTAAGAAAGTCTTAGTATTAAAAAATGATTCCTCTTCTGTTAAATCTTCTTTTTTCATTGATTTTAAGAGATCTTTAGAATTTGGTTGTACCAAAAATAATTCACCAGCACCTTCACAGTCATTTGAAGTTAAAATCGGTGCATGTATGTTAATATAATCTCTGCTTCTCAAGTAATTTTCAATACTCGCAGATGTTATATTGCGTAATCTCAATAAAGATGAAAATTTTTTAGTTCTTGGTCTTAAATGTAGAAATTCTCTAATATAATCTTCGTGATACCGTTTTCTTGGAGCAAACGGATATCCGTCCATAACATCGCATGTACCAACTACAATAACATTATCCGTATGTAATTCAATTGTATTGTTGGGACCTAAGGCTAATTTTCCTTCTGCCTCGATGCTACTTCCAAAACTTAAATTATCTGGTTTATTCGCCTTTGGTATAACAAGTTGTAACATTTTAGGACTTGATCCATCCATAATATCGACGAAAATATTTTCTTTCATCTTTCTGATGGCATGAACCCAACCCTATCTTCAGTAAATTATTAACAATATATATTCATAATCAAAATCATATAAATAAAGTATTATATTTAATATAAAACGCGGAATTGAAGAAATATATATTAAAAAAAATAAATAAACTATAAGATACTGCTAACCTGTACTTTTACATGTCTTCCCAAATTAGTTTCAAAATTGTCATTACATATTTGCAACATACTGTGAACGTAACATTTTTGAACCTTAAGGTTAGCAAATAAATTCCGGCTTAATTTAAAAAGCAACATTTCTCTTGTGTTTTTACGGGATTTGCGCGATTATAATAAAATAAAATCACAAGGCTACCTCCACAGTGCTCCGTACTTTATCACACGGTTTGTAAGTTCTCATTTAAAACTCTACGTTCTATTTATTCAAAACACTATATTATCGATTCATCAAAGAAGAATGATATCAGCAAACATATTCCCAAATCTTCCTACATGCATTTTGCGGGTAAATAAAATGTAGAAGAGCTGAGGATTTGATTACGAAGATGTAGTTATGAAAGTTCACGGATTATCCCCTAAATTAGCTTTCTTTTGATAGTGATAATTTCATCGATTTATAGACAAGAAAATACTAGCGCCGCGTAACAGTGAATATGGTGGAATTAATCGCTATCTTCTATTCTGTCGCATATTATCACTCTCCTTATCTACCCACAATACACGTACTGCCATCTATCAAAAACTATCAGAATTAAATTTTATTACCGACTGTGTCTATGACGTGTACCATCTATCGGGTTCTTCCTTCCTATCCTTTTAGTTCCAGTCGAAATTGAGAGGTGCTTAGATGGCAGTACCATTCACAATAAAGAACACACATTATCAAAAAAAGAAAATTCAATTCACGATTTTTGAAACTGATCAACATACTTCTTCTAGCTAAAACATTATGTAGCTTAATTATGTAATAATCTTAATCATTACAAATGGTATCTTAATTATTTATTGTTTGTTAAAGTTTATTTACAATCTTAAAATTTAAACATCTTAATGTTTATAATGAAATTTTATCCTAATATAGGACACAACTAACGGCTCTTCCTTCTTTTTCGACCTAATTTACTCTTAAAACGTAGTAATAATCTAATGTAATGTTGATATGTTTTATATAAATATCTCACAACTTACAAAAATTCACGTTGAAAATGTATAATATAAATATCATTGTTATAATTGTTATCACTTTGACTTGGGCAAAAGAGGATTCGCTGCTGTCGCTAGTGTCCATGGGAGAATGTTGCGACATCGATGCGAGCTGTTGCACGGCTGCAGAAAAGAAAAAAAAAGAATGATTTCCACGATTTTGTCCCAGTTTCCCTAAATAACTGACAACAAGACAAATTATCAAGTTACCCGGTTCGATCTTATCCTCTTGTATCGCGTTCGTTATGTAATTATCTTTGTCCGCTGAGAAAAATTACATATCCATTTATATAAAACGGAACGAGATCATCTTTTAAGTTAAGCCAAGATGATTTCAATGCTACTTGTTTGCATTTTTTTTTTTTTTTTTTTTTATTGTACTTACAAGCGCCTTCCGTGGCGAATCGTATTATTTCCGACGGCTTGCTCCAGCCGTAACGATTTTTCGACAAAACAAGCGCCTCGTAATGCGTCGCCTCTTCCAATCCAGTCAATTTGAACGAGTACGTGTGTATGAAACTATTTCCATCGCTGCCGCTCGGTATGTACAATTTATGCCATTGACCAGGCACGCCGTTCTAAAGATCGAGAAATTGACGAATGGTATGAATAATACAATAGGATCGTAAGATAAAATACGATACGAATGAGATCATGTCATAATTATAATCACAGTACCGAGATTCTTACCACGTATTTACGGAATCTGAACTCGTACTGTACTATCGGATTGTAACTGTGAACTTCCCAGACGAAATTGTACGAAGTCTTGGAGAGGCTGTGCGAGGTCTTTTTAAAGACGGCCGGATTCGCGATACCCGATAATTCGACCGCCGCCTCGGTGATTCCCAAGGAATTAGAAGCTCTGCAGAGATAGAAACCGTAATCCGTCGTCCTGACGTTCCTTATCACTAAACTGTGATCGCTGCCTGCGTTGTGCTTCACTATCCTCGATGAATATTTCACGCTTCTGTTGTTGAAATACCACTCCACCTGTAGATCAGATTTATAGATACAACCAGGAAAGAAAAGGAAAAAGGAATTTACATCTTCCTCTGCGGCTGCACCACTTACAGTGGAATCGTCGAGTGGTACGGCAATATAATTGCGGAGACCGTTCGTTAGAATGCAACGCGAAGTTCCTTTAGAATCGAGAGACGTGTCGAAGAAATCGCCGCGTCAGCGACGAGTTTAACTCTAGTAGCTATTTTCCTTTTTTCTTTTCTTTTCTTTTTTTTTTTTTTTTTTTTCTTTGCAAGAAGAAGAAGTATCGCGAGTCACGTTTCCCGCCGATCGATTCGTCGCGCGTTACTGCCTCCAAGGGATAGAATCCAGAGAAATTGCTTCACAGGCAGAGCCAGTTGAGAGCTTACGTATTCGTCGTAATGTTAAACTACTTGGTATACAGTTTCAATCGTTACTCTTCGCGTCAGATCTTTTTGCACGTCGCTTTTCAACGCGTCAGTTATTCGAGAGAAGCGAATAATGAGATAAAACGAAATGAAGAGTATAGCTTGTTTATCGACGATGGCGTCCAGTCGAAACGAAAAATCGAAAAATCGGGGAATAATTAAACGCTCGACAAGATATCGAAGAGAGCTAAGGTTGTTGTTCGAATTGTCATTATATCACGCCCGTGGTCCTGTAAAACTCACCGTTGCTTCTGGCCAGGCAGTCACCCCGCAATGCAGCTGCACGCGTATCCCAGCGGGTGCGTGTAACCAAGTTTTCATCATCTCGATCCTAGGCTTGTCTACGTAGTTCCCGATCGTCGATCAGTTAGAAGTCGCGACATCAGACATCACGCGTTGAAACAGACAAACGTTTCGTTATACGTCGATACAAGAAAAGTATGACAAGTTACATTTCGTCGATCTTTCCCTCTGCACGGCCCTCGAATAACGTCGAATTATATCGTACGAGAAGAATTTATCTTTCAGAGTCGAGTTCTTATTTAACCTCGTTATCTATTATTTCTTTCTAGCTCACTAAGTTCTCGGAATACAAAACGTTGACCTTCCTCAAAGGGTTCGCCGTCATCGGCGCTTACATCAGCGGTGCTTTTAATTATCATTTATGCTTTCAATTATCAAATCACTTAACGCAGTATGAATCACTTAATTGCAGGTTGAACGGTCGTCAAAAGAAGCCCAACTTTCGACGGCCGATTCTGCCGTGTGCAAAACGTGTTTTCGCGAAACCGAAACCGTGCTCGTGCACCGTGTTTTTCAATTAAAATCACGATTGTCTCTGATAGAACGGTCGCTACGTGCAAACGATTCAACGCACTTGTGCGTCGCGGCGTTTACAATTAGATCGTGCCGTCGTTTGATTGGAATACTAAAGAGAGCGATGCAATTTCCTAATTTAATTACAATCGTTTGACAACGACGGCCACTTCCGTCCACACAGGCGAAGTCACAGTGCGCGAAGTCGATAATTTGAACTACGTAGGCGAAACTACGTACGAATTCGCGCTGCGTCAATCAAGTCACTAGTTTCATGAAGAAGCTATCTGTCATGCGGTCGAAGGAAATTACGCGGGTTTTCATCGTAGGCCTTGATTATATGTCTGATACAATGAGTTTGATTACCTACATCTAACGTATAGATCTATGGTGGCCGTGGCGGGTTCGCCAACGTCGTTGTTTGCCACGCAAGTGTATCGTCCAGCGTCGGCGGGGCTCTCCGCGTGGAATCGCAGACGTGATCTATCATATAAAAATGGTATTTCTCCGTCCTGTCAATGGGATAAATGTTTTCATTGTTCCTGATGTTCAACATTCACGAGACATTCGAGAAAGCATGCGTTCCTTCGTATTTTCGTGCAGATCTCGAGGAGATATCGTTGTACCTTGTTCCTCCAAGATATGATGGGGACTGGAACACCCTTTGCCACACACGACATGTCCACTTCCTCTCCCAAATTCACCTCCTGCTTGCCAGACTCCGGTATCGGATGGACGCTGGGTGGATCTGCAATGAACAATTTGTTCTGACCGATTCGTTTAATACTAGAACTACAGTTAAGACGAAGCTATTTCTACCAAAACCAGTCAAAATGACTGGTCTTTAAAAAAAAAAAAAACCGTAATGATAGAATATTTTTATATTTATTGATTTACTACTTTCTTACAAAAGAAATCCCATGTTACGTAGTAGTACAGTTAATACCAAATTTGTCGGGTTTATTCGGCAAATATCGAATAAATCTCCATCTGGCTTCAGATGGAAAGAGTTGTTTGTCAATTGTAATGTTTGCACTTTGTTTGTAGCAACTCTGACTATTTCGAATAAACTTATCCCATACAGCCAAATATCAAAGCAAATTTATCACTTTGTAAACGTTGACTTCCATCACTTTTTTTGATCAAAGCAAATAAATCTCAATATTTCGGTAAAATCATTTCATGGTGCTGGGAAAGAAGTTTGGTCCCCATTTTTTGTTCCATAAATATAAAAGTTCCAAATTTTCCGTTTCGTTGCATACAAAATTCCGAAACTCGAGAAGCTTCTAATTCCGTGCAAGATATTATAGCATATGGTCGTCAATTAGTAAAAACAATGCGCAATTTCCTTGATAATTATCACCATCATATTGCACGATAGCAGTATAAATTCTAAAAACGTGTGAAAAGTTGTACGAAACTGATTAATCCGGGTTCGGTAAACAGATTGTAGGACTCTTTTACACTTTGACTAGTATCAGTCATTTTGACTGGTGCGGTAGTTCTAGTGTTAAAGATTCAAAATTGTTTCTTCTGCTTGATTATCCTCAAGGTTCGAGCACCACTCTCGGGTTTCTACGTTTAATCCCTTGTTTCGCGAGTTCCTTCGTGAATGCATGCTTAAGCGAGCGTAAATTATTAATAATTATTGCGCTACTGCTGTATGATAAAGATGATTTTTATCTCAGTATTTACAGAGACTGTTACTTTGTTAACTGTTAAAAATTTTCGAGCAAAAAAACTTAAAGGAAAACTGTTGTAGTGATCGATGTTGAAACTGCATGTCTTTTGACAATTCCAACGTCATTGGTATTTACAACGCATTGATATTATGCGAACGTTCGATGATGTTAATTGTACGCGAGAGTCGCGATCCAATGAATGTGTCCAAATACGTATGAATACATGTATATGTAAATGCGCGTATCGTTGGACGAAGAGAAACGGGCGTTGCCGATCTCGTGGGATAGGGGGGAAAAAAAAAAGAAAAAAAAAAGAGAAAATTCGATTCCTCCGAGTCGAATCGGTCGAATTGGAAGGGTTCTTCTTATTTTTACGTGCAGAGTTCCGCGAAATGGGACCACGAAATCCTTACCGATTGGGAGGGGAAAACTCCGTGGAGGATTCCGAGGCTGAGAAAACTTTCCTGAATTTGTTTGCAGAACGACGTAGAGAGCTCGAATGTACTCTCGGGTCATCCATAATTTCACGCCAACGACGATACGGCGATAGAATCAATATCTGTGTTTAACTTCCCCACGAAATACACGCGGCGTCTGTTCTTTAACTCTTTTCCAACTCTTAAATTATCGATGCCAATTAATCGGCGCTGTTTCTTCTATTGATCCTGGCCGATCAATTAACGACACAAAGAACACGAAGGGACATTGTTCGACGTATCGACGATCGAACATCGAGCGATTTTTCAGCGAATTTTGAAATTGTAGAACGGTGTTCGCGACGCACCGCCGATGATGATAAGGTGAAGTCTGAGAAGTACAAGAACGTTTTACTTCAGTGCCGATTTACTCACACATCACTTCGATCTCGTGTACTTGCGTGGCATGTCCCCAGGGAGCTGGTCGAGACGCTTGGCACACATATTCCCCGGTATCGTTCCGTCTCACGTGGGAAACCTCCAAGCTTCTGTTTGAGTACATTCTAACTCTTTCAGGTGGTTCGTGTCGTGGTTCACCGCTGTCAGCCAAAAGGATGCCGTCTCTCCACCACCTCACCCTCGTCTGCACGTTATCTAGACACACGCCGAAGTACACGCGTGTAGATTCCAGAGAGATCGTTTCAATATCTACGTTAAAATTCTCAACATGGAGAAATCTACCGCCAACTTTCCGGAATAAATTTATTACTATACTTACTCTCGCTACCTATATAACAAACTTACTTACAAGTCCATAACTCGGGTCTCTGCTAGACAATACTCAATCGTCTAGAAATAGGGGTGGTAGCGCGCGCTGATGCGCCTACACGCAGTTTAGGCGAAGTACGAGCCGATAAGTAAACCCAAATATTGCCTTCCCTCTGACCTCAATTCGACGTTAATCCAAGTTTCGACTTGGAGAACATCGAACGAGATGAATTGTAGTTAGGCAACTAGGGGGGATGTCTCCGCGGTTAGGCTAGAATGATCGTCTTAACGTACGTGTGGCCTCTTCTGTTGCGAGTTGCGACAAGGCAAAGCGACTGGCAATCCGGTTAAGCGAAACCATCGATGACAGCTCGATCGATTGACCAGTAAATTGTTTGCGTTCTATACCTGTACACGTGAATGTCGCGCGATTGGACGCGTTCCTGCTTAGGGGACTTAACATCGATCGCGTTGTCCGAAATTGCGGCATCGTTCTCTCTTTACCCTCGATCGAGTTAACAGCAATACTACCTACTATCTATGTGTTGGCTAAAACAAGCATCGACCCACTTCCACCGAAAGGATTTATACTATCTACAATTACAAACGAAAATGACAATGAATTTATATTAATAAATGATAATAAAACGGGAATAAATTTCATTGCAATACGCGTAGGTACGTTAGATTCTTTCTCACGGAATGCGACCGAATCGTCGATTAACTGGAAGACTGTCTTTCTTTTTTCCTTTTGCCTTTTCTCTGCGTCGAAAGAGGAAACAGTTATGGCTTTAATAAATCTACGGTTACACCGCTGTTGCGGTTTACGAGATGCAACAGGTGATATTTGTTTGTAACACCCTCGGTACCTCGTGGAAGAGCCAAGTTCTTCGTAGTCGTTTTGCAGCCTCGATCGTTATCGGCTTACTCGTTCGATTTTTCCACCTCGTTAATAAAGGAGACAATCGGCCGTGATTGTGCTATCGTGTATCCGAGCAACTTCAACGAATAAGTGCTCGAGGATTTGTCAAATGACTTACCAAGATCTTCGACGTAACACGGCAGCAGAACCGTGTCATTCTCAAAGGTCTTCACCGTCGTCGGATAACTTTTGAAGCCGTTATTTGCTGTCGCTCGACTACCTGCAACGATAAATTTAACAGAGTCGTATTTAATAACTGAACGACTTGCAGAAGGAAGCTCCTTTGAATTTCGCTTATTGTGAGAGAAAGAAAGTATCTCTGCGAACATTAATTTTACTATTTACCCTTCGCAGTGAGAATCATACAACGACGGAGAACTGTTGACAATTCCAACTGATATAATTTCGTCAAAAAATATTACTTCTGGTCTCATTTTGAAGCATGAAGTTTTTATTTTGGTAGTCGTGAGTTCGCCTTCTTTCAAAGATAATTTCACGGGAAATTGTAGACATTCGAAGGCTTTTAATGTGAAACATTATAAAGTTCTTCTCGTGACTGAATCTACCATGGTTTTGAAAATTGATATTTTCTCTCTGTAACGACCCCTTAAAACTCTCTACGAGTTTGTTGAATTTGGATCAGGATTAGATGGCGAAATGTTAGTATTTCTTGAATTTTTGTCGCCTGATCCTGATATTCAACGTTCAATAAAATATATAAATATACGTACAATAAGTTTTGAACAATGACCTCAATCTTCAAAATAACGGTGCAATTTTTTGATGTTTAAATTTTTAGAAAAAAAGCATCCTAACTTTTCCTTGAACATACGATTTTCACAGCAAAGGCTTTAGAATCGTTGTGCGATATCTTTCTCTACGAAGTTATAATCGGTATAACTTGTAACTTGTAATTTTTCATTATCAAGAGCTACGCTCTTCACTGTGTACACCAAAAGGAATATATTTTTTCAATCAAGAATCTCGATTCCACCGCTCTCTGCTAATTTAAAATACTAACTCCAAGGTGATGTTATAAAATTCAGTTTCAAGTTTGCGCAGCGACCGCGCTCTCACGCCGGATGCGTTGAAAAGTTAAACGCAGATTTCCTATGCATCATATATGTGCAATTTTCTGTGCTGCCGTGCGACAGCATTCCGCTACGTTTTTCTTGTTCAAACGGGTCTCGGATCTCCGGCAAACGTGATGGATTTTTCATTTTCGTTCTAATTAAAATCTCAAAAAAAAAAAAAAAAAAAAAAAAAGGAGAAAAAATAATAAGAAGGATGAAATAATAAGAAGAATGGGCGAGGAGAGAGAGGGAGAGGCGGAGGAGGAGGAGGAGACGTAATAGCATTGCAAACGAAATAAACAGGGCAGAAACAATTTCGTGGAATTTACAATGTTCATTGTGAACTCATTTCCGCAGCTGTCACGTGGTTGCTTTTTGCGAATAACGAATGATCTTCGCGTTGTCCCGAAGTGAATCGGAAACAATCAGTTCGGCGGTGAATTAATTTTCAAATGAATTTAATCGGAGGACCGGGAGATTGAGAGAGTTGCCTGAAAATTGAACAAAGGCTTTATATTTTAAATTGCATTCAATTTGCGAAGCGCGAGAATTTTAAACTCGTTAGTACAGGCATCGTATACACGTTTCTCGTGCACCTTGCGAGAGACTGTCTTTCGCTTGATTGATTGATTTTATTTATTTATTTTTTTTTTTTCGAATCTAACGCGCGTGCATGCAGGTATACACGCACGACTGTGTACGTGTGTGTGATACGTTCACGAATGGAAAAATCTATGTCGGATCACACGTGTCAAAAAATTTTTCCGCACGAGCATTTGCGGAATGATCCCGCTTACGTATTGTTGCTTTCAGTTGAAAACAGCGACGATGAAAAATGGAAATCCAATTTCTTTTTTCAGGTGTATTTTTTAGCATTTCGACGATGGCTTTGCGTATGAACGGCTGTCGGAAAAAAGAATCGGATAGAAAGTATAACACTCTAATTTGAGCATACGTTTAAATGTCAAAAGTGTCGAATAATAGTCGATTTAAAAAAGTAAAACCACCGAGTGAGAAGTGCTTTTTCAATTGCTTTGACGTAATCCGCGTAGGCATATCGATGTGCATAAACAGACACAGACTGGACAGACACGTATCGTAGCACGAGATCGAGGAAAAAGAAAAGGTGTAATTTACCCATTCTACTTACCTATGATAAAAATGCAAAACATCCAGCCAAAGACCACCATGTTGTAAAAACATGCATACACGTTCCACCACTCTCGAAGCCGCGAAATATGCGGAGAAACAGGAAATGATTCAGAGTAACGTTGCGGCGCGAACTCTTCGACTTTTCACGAGGCACTGATCTTCGGCTAACTAAGATGGTGATCGTGTTCCTACGATCTTAACGCACACGTACGCACGCTCACGCACACTTGTCGTCCAGCGTAATTATGACCAGTTGGTCATTGTACGATTCAGGGATGCTCATATCGTCATCCATAAAATCCGGTTCGTCTTCTCCGGTTCGCTTGAGCCGTTTATAAAAGCGTTTAACGAGTAACGCTTGTCCGAAGGAAACCTTTGAAATGAACCTCCTCGAAGCATCCTTGAAATATACGAGCGTGAGGCTTCCAAGATCGTTTTATTCTTTCTAGTTCACCGATTGATGCAGCGATACTGCAAGCCTTTGACAAACGATTGGTAACGTACTTTGTACGATAAACTTTGTCGAAAAGTTTACGATACCTTCGGAGCTTGGAATTTTTGTAAAACAACGACGATGAAATTGGAAATTGTTGTTAAAGCGTGTAGAAGAAGATTAAAACGAGGGATTCTATCCCGACTGAGAACCATCGCGACCCTATTGCAACGCTGCTGCCACTATGTCCACATGCATAGGGTGTCCATCCTACCAACACCAAAGGCATTCTTCTATAATTTGTTCAATTTACGCACCGACACGTACCATACATAGAGTCATTCATCGAGTTATCCATTAAATCGTTAATCTAATATATGTGAATCGGCCGCCCGTTTTAAAAGGAGGCGACAAACCGCGTACCCCTCTGTCGCGATTGTAAACAGATGGAAATGTCACCGTCGCCGGCTACGCCTTAATTCGAGAGACAATGATACAGACTTTGACAGGGAAACGAAATTAACCCTCCTAATCGAGAGTGAAAGGGAAACGATCTGTCCTTTGTGAGGAGGATCCATAAAACGGGCCATCTTTCTGCTTTTCACTGCGATGCCATTTTTTTTAATTGCTCGGCTTGTCAAGTCGAAAGGTCGTCCACGAGTGAATCCTGCATCGCGTACAAGTTGGAAACGTGGTCTTGGTAAAAGTCCGATAAATCGACGATTGATTTTGATCTCGGAGAAAAAGAGGAAGAAAGCCGACCGCCCCGAGACACATTCGCCCGCAGGTAATTGCATTTCAATTCTCCCCTATCCTCGCCTTCACGAATTATCGCCTCGCCAGGACGTTCTTAATTACTTAACCGGTGGGTCAATCTCCGCTGCGAAGGCGACAACGTTACAATTTTACCCGAAACTCGAGATACATCTTCAATTCATCGTGCACGCGAAACGTATCATATCTGGGAACACGAAGTTCTCTCGATCGATATTTGCTTTCATATAATTGATCATGAGTGGCAGCTCGACCCTCATCTGACAACAATCCAGTCGGATCTTCTATTTCTATCGTAATAGGTCGGAATGTACAATTCCCACGAAAATCGTGTTTAACACGCTTCGTTGTTTCCTACACACATTGCGAACGTTTCGAAAATGATCTTTAATCTTCCGTGCCATTTGCTCGTTGAGGTGTGTCGTCAAACTTTTTCTCTCACCGAGAGCGAAACCGGTACAAAAGAAAAAAAAATGGAGAGACCGAGAGAGCAAAGGCAGGGGATTACACGTACCTGTCTCAGAGACATAAAAGCGGTTGGTTTAATGGGCATTGTCAACGCGGATAATGCCACTGGATCACATTGTTCGTGCATTATGGGTTGGGCAACAACGCTAATCAACGCCGATCGGTACGATCAGGTTGATAATTATGTTACGTTAGCAAGAATGAATTTCATTCAGGTATCGACGTCACCGGCAAATGGAACAAGTATCCTTCGTACGATGGCTGGAATCGGGCTTCTATAAATAACGCGAAATTAACGGAAGGTTTTCATAAACGTCGCTCAATGCGCACGGAACGTTTCCGAACGGGTCCGTGGAAACACGTCGTGCTTCAATGACAGATTTAAATTGGCCATACATTTCAACTGTGCGACGCGAGATTAATTCCGAATAATGGGACAATAGCATTGTACAAAGTCTGTCGTTGGCGCGCGGACGCCGACTAAAAAATTTCCGATCACCGTTTTTCATGTTCCGAGGGAAAACACGTGCGCGAGAGAGAGAGAGAGAGAGAGAGACATTGCATTACTCGAGAGGAAGAAAAAAGGGGAAAGGAAAACAATTAACAATCGGAGAGCACGATGCGCGCGGAATGATAAAAGATTTTCAACGGTAACCTACATTTTATTAAAACGTGGCGTTTTAATTTAAAATTCAAAGTTCCTTGTTACTTCGTGAAAGCAAGCATGAAAGTTCCTTGGACAAGTTTTTTTCAAGTCATTTGTGCTTCAAATATACGTCTCTCGCGTGAATGCGATAAAACTGGACGTTTTCCCATGAAAACTGTCCAAACCATGTCTGGAAGCTGTTTAGAATGGTTTAGTTTAGATCTCACGCTGAAAACTGAAACGAATTCGGCAACTTTTCCTCGGAAGCTGCGAAAGAAATATTCTGAAACGTTCAATGACGGAACAGTGAGGGATATTCGTCGAGACGCTGTTTTAAAGATGCTCGTCTCAAGACGTTCCGAGGTGTTTTTCACAGCCCCCTCGCCCCCATTGTAATTCGTTCCCTCGCGAAAACGTAGCTGAACAAACACACCGTCAGGCGACGTCGACGCTTTTCCTTCTCTGCCGCGTAACATCCGGTTGCCACTGACAAATTGTGCAAATCGCCAACGGCGACAAGCGCCGTTC